TGCACTATAATATGCATGGACGTTTAAGCACGGCTAACTGCATAAGAAACAATTCACACCGTTCGATCGCCGCGCGGCGCCGGCGGCGCATTCGCGACTGGATGCCCACCGAGTGTCCCGCGAACTCCAGTGGATTAGGTATGTCACGCTCGTGCGGCCATTCGGAGACGGGTTCCGCGACCACACCCGCCCTCTCGGCATGCACTATATATGAAAATTCATTTCATCTATATAAACAAACAATCAATTAAGTAATAGGCGGGCCACTAGCAAAAAATAAAATAAAAATAATATTTGTTAAATTTCAATGTCAAGTTCAATAATATTTATGTATATATGTTTGTGTGTATAATTGTATATGTCATTTATGTGTATCATTTTATTGTCATTTTGTACATGATAGTCGCTATTTACTCAAGATTGTCATTGAAATAATCATTAATACTATAGTAGCACTTCTCGATTAATAACAGTTTTAATTTTTTTATAAATAGAATGTCATTAGTTTCGTTTCTTAATGTCTCTGGTAAATGGTTATATATGATTATTGAAAAGTTAAAGGTACTTGTTAAGTTTTGCTTGAGGCATGAAGTTATCAGTACTAATTTGTTTTTACATCGCAAGGTATACTTCATATGTAAATTCTCTCGTTTAGTATATACTTAATTGGCTATTTTTCTTTATAAATTTGCATATCTCTAGTATGTATAAACAAGGCAGGGGAATTATCATAAACTTCTGAAAGTACGGTCTACAGCTTTCGGTATTGTCTATATTTATTTATTGGATTAGTTTTTTCTGCAATGTAAATAATGCGGGTGCGTCTGTGCTATTTCCCCACAAGATGATGCCATAGTTTAGCCAAGAATGCGCATATGCGTAGTAAGTTACAATTGCCGTTTCCACGTTAGTAGTCTTTTTAACTTCACGAAGTGCATAAAAAAAACTCGATAATTTAGATTTTATTTTCCTTACATGTGCTTTCCAGTTAATATGCGTGTCTATGAATTTTCTTTATTAGGTATGCGTGTCTATACCTAATAAAGAAAATTCCTTAACACAATCTAAAGTTTTGCCCATGTAATTTACTGACAAATTTAATTTTTTCTTTTGATGCGGGTGGAAGGTCATTATTTTTGTTTTAGCTATGTTTATTTCAAGGTTATGGTCATTTAACCAGTCAGAAGTTTTAGCAAGGATCGCGTCCAGTTTTATATTAATGTCGGTATTTGCTTCGCAAGTAGTATTGATATATCATCTGCAAATAATACACATGGCTCCTCAATAATTTTAGGAAAGTCGTTTATATAAATTAAGAACAATAAACACCCAGCAACACTTCCCTGTGGTATTGATGCATTTATAACCCTGCAGTCGGAGTATACATGTGTGTATTTTTTGGACTTTTTATCGAAGTTTTCTATCTCTACAAATTGTTTTCTATCTCGCAAATAAGATGAAAACCATTTATGGGCAGGGCCGCGGATTCCAATGTCGTACAATTTTTTTAGAAGTATGTTATGTTGCACCCTATCGTATGCCTTTGTCATGTCTAGTAGAATGCTTACTCCGTACTGTTTTTTATCAATTTTTTAACTATTTCATTAATGTATTTATATACAGCTAGAGTTATGGATCGGTTCTTTCGAAAGCCGTTTTGACTGTCATCAAATATTTTGTATTTTTCACAAAACTTGACAACGCGATTACAGATTGCTTTTTCAAATATTTTAGAAGCTGTAGGTAGAAGGGCTATAGGACGATAGTTGTTTGGTTCGGATTTTTCATTTTTCTTATAGATAGGTTTAACTATTGTTTTTTTCGGAGTAGATGGAAACGTGCTTTCTTCAAAAGATTGGTTTATTAAACAAGTGAATGGATAAGTTAGTTCCTCTACACATTCCTTTATTAATTTTGGTCGAAGTTCATCAATACCATGACTATTTTTGTTCTTAAGGGACTTAATAATTTTATGTACTTCATGACACTCTACTGGACTCAAGTAAAATGTATTTTCGGTGGGGCTGAGTACAGGGCGGCCGCTAGCACAGCGTGTTGCGCAGCCGTCCTGGGATGACGGTTTGAGCCTACCGATTGAAGCGAAAAAATTATTAAAAGAATTTGCAACAATTTTTAGGTCTTATATTATATTACTCGTCTTATATTACACTGTTCCTTAATTTTTATTTTATTAGTCCTCTCATTTATTATATTCCACATCGTCCTAACTTTATTATGTGATTGATGTATTTGTTTTATGTATTGATTTTTTTGCACAGATAACTGCTCTTTTTAATAATTTTTCATATTGTTTATAATGTTGTTTTAAAATTGGATTATTTGATTTTGTGGAAATAATTTTCAGTAACCTTTTATTTTTACACGATTTTTTTAATCCTAAAGTTAACCAATACTTCTTTGGTGTAGATTTCCATTTGATTGTCTGCTTTGGTATAGATGAATTTAATGTTTTAGTTAAGGTCTCTTGAAACGCATTATAATTATCATTTATAGTTATGTTTTTATTTATTTTTAAGCATTTAACTGCTAGATGTTTAAATCTAAAGAAAAGTTTACTAGAAAAAAATCCACGCGGACCAGGCAGCGGACGGGACTCGAACCCGCACCCTTCGCAATCCGGGCGAATGCACTGACCATTATGCTACCACGGCCCTATTCGCCGCGTCGAAATTTTCCTAGCCTTAAGCTGCAAGGCAGCGCCATCTCTTCGCATTGTAGGTAACCCACAATGTCAAATGAATACTTTTTCAAGTATTAAACATTTGAAAGAAGAAATAGCAATTATAGTTACCTATGTTTTTATTTATTTTTTAGCATTTAACTGCTAGATGTTTAAATCTAAAGAAAAGTTTACTAGAAAAAAATCCACGCGGACCAGGCAGCGGACGGGACTCGAACCCGCACCGTTCGCAATCCGGGCTAATGCACTGACCATAATGCTACCACGGCCCTATTCGCCGCGTCGAAATTTTCCTAGCCTTAAGCTGCAAGGCAGCGCCATCCTACCTGGTTACCTACAATGCGAAGAGCATTGTAGGTAACCCACAATGTCAAATGAATACTTTTTCAAGTATTAAACATTTGAAAGAAGAAATAGCAATTATAGTTATGTTTTTTTTTCTAGTAAACTTTTCTTTAGATTTAAACATCTAGCAGTGAAATGCTTAAAAAAGCGCTCCCTCCTACAAAACGATGACGCTATCTTGTAACCGCTAAAATTCAATAAATCTAGTTTAGCTTGGGATAACCATGTTTCTGAGATACATAATGCTTGATATATTGGATTTTCTTGTAAAAATGCCTCTATTATATGTTGTTTGTTGTTGATACTTTGAACATTCTGGAACAGAATCCTAAATTTTTTAGTTTTTTCGAAAGGAATTATCATTATTACGGCTTGTATTATTCTTTTCCGGACTTTTTGCATTTTTCTTTCATAGTCTTTTGAATTTGGCGGATTCTTCATGTTGAATGATTGGGCAACTTCGCTCATATTCACTCTTTTTCCTTCTATAAATAATTGGTTGTTTTTCAGTATTGCATGTAGGTCATTTTTTCTTGCCATATGCATTTCCTCTCGCAAAGCTTTCCTTTTCAATTGGGTGGCCCTGTCCAAAAATTCCGATACTGAAAACACGGTTCCGTTAAAGCAATTACTATTTTCAATTAAATATTTAGCCATTCTCTTGCTTATCAGCTCTATTACCAATGGTCGATTTCCATTGTTATTGTAGCGTCCTATTCTATGTGTATCCTCTATGTATCCATTTAAATCTACATTTAAAATTTCCCGAAAAATTTCATGGATTCGTTCCAATAAATTATGTTCTGGTTCTTTGTAGTATTCTTTTAAGCTATACAGTACATTTTTTTTCCGGTTTATTTGAGCATTTTGGTGTCCAACAGTATTAATATTTTCATTGAATGTTTTCCGTCGATCAATCTCTTTCTGTTGATTTTCTAATTTCATATGTAATTTTTGTATTTCCAGCTTTTTGCAGTTATTTTCTTCTTTAAGTAAATGTTTATCTTGTTTTAGTTCTTCCATTAAAATCTTTACTGATTGCTTCGTTTTTTATTGTGTTTTGTAGCTCTGTTATTATTTTTATATTATTTTCCTGTAGTTTTTTAGCAATCGTATCGCTTAACATTTGCAGTGTTAATTCGGTAGGCGTATTAGTATCTTTGGTTTCTGTGAAAATGGTATCTCCCAGAGAGAAAATATCCTATGAACACAAAGAAACATTTGATTGGGAAGATGTATGTTTTCGAAAGGTGACATTTGCAGTTTCAGGCGATTGAGGCCGACGCGACGGTCAATTTCATTTTGATTTAAAGGTCTCACTGGTGTGTATAAATTTCCGTTCTTGGGCATCTTACAGTAGCAGGCAGGGCATTTCCACCCTTTTTTATGTTCTTGTGTCATAGTGTTGCGAAATCGCTGAATGGATACATTGGCACAATCCAGGTCATAGGCACAATTGCAGTGTACGCAAGTAAGAAATTCGCTTCTTGGGAGCTTTTTTTTGCATCCAACACACTCTGATGACATTTTTGTTATAATATTGCTTACAGAAAGTATTTATTTAATATTGACCAGCGCCCTCTTTCCGAAGGCTTGTGTAACGGGATGCTCGGGTAACGGATAGTATACATGTACTGTACATATATAAGTATATTTATATAGAAATACATATTAAACATCCATGACTGGAGTACAAATGCTCGTATTCATCACACAAACATCTGCCCCCACCGGGATTCGAACCCGGGACCTCTCGAGTCGGCGACACCATGAAACCCGGCGTACAAACCACTCGGCCACGGAGGTCGTCAAATTGACTAATTGACCGGTATGATGGATTGATTCAGGTGGAAAATAGGGGTACTACGATTCATGATGAAGCCATTACAATAGAGACAAGTTGACGTTGAATTTTTGCGACTTGGTTGATTGATCTTAATATTGATTTTTCTAGCATCAAAAGCAGAGATGCAGGCGCGCACAGCACTGATAACGCTAGCAGCGTTGGGTGCGTTAGCGACAGCATCGGCAGCGGCTGAGCGCGGCGGTGGCATCAAGGTGGGCGGCGGAGCGATGGGCGGCGCGGGCCGAGACGGCGTGCGTGGCAGCGGCGTGAGGTTGGGCCTCGGCGACGGCATAAGACGCGCGCGTACCTCACCCGCCCCTCCACCACCACGGGCACCGTCGGTCATCACCGCTGCCCTCGTCGTTCCACACAAAGCCTTTGGAACACGAGACTACACAAAAGCCGAGAAGGCTGCTCTGTCTAAACTGCCGCGTAAACTGAAACTCTTCTCACAAGTGCGTCTTAATATTACGCTTTCTACGCAAGGTTTGACGCCAAGTCCAATGTGTAAGTGAATTTGAATAAAAATAACGCTTCAAATTTCTTAGTACAGGTTGGACGTTAACATTCTTTATCTTTTTATATTTCAGCTATTCTAGATTCGTTATGTAAAGAGTTTTTGGCAGTCAACGTTTCCGCAATTCTCTATCTTATGAACCATGAACAATATGGACGTTCCACTGCATCTGCTCAGTATTTTTTACAACTTGCAGGATATCTTGGAATACCGGTAAACTAATTCAGTACCTTTAGTTAGATTTGATTGACAAGTGTGCAATTAAGTAAAACCTAGTATGATTTCAGGTTATAGCATGGAATGCCGACAATAGTGGGCTAGAGAAACGAGCATCGCACGCGTCTCTTCGACTTCAACTAGCCCCGTCCATTGAACATCAAACAGCAGCTATGTTATCTATATTAGAGCGATATAAGTGGCACCAATTTAGTGTCGTAACTTCAGCTATTGCTGGACATGATGACTTTATCCAAGCAGTGCGCGAAAGAGTGACTGCATTACAGGTAGTTATGTGAATTTTATATAATACTTACTTTAATCAATCCAGTTGCCTGATAAAAAGTTCAAAAAACTTTTAAAATGAATAAAACCACAAAAAAAAGGGAACTGTACTTGCTTAATATACTTACGGACTTAATATACGGCGTTACTTGAAATTCTACGTACCTACCTACTATGTTTAAGTAAATTCCATAATTCTACAGGATCGCTTCAAGTTTACAATATTGAACGCCGTCGTGGTGAAACAATCGTCTGATCTTAAAGAGTTAGTAACCAGCGAAGCACGTGTAATGTTACTTTACGCCACACGTGAAGAAGCAGCGGATATTTTGTCGACTGCAGGAGACCTCCATCTTATTGGAGAGAACTTTGTATGGATAGTTACACAGAGTGTTTTAGGTTCCTTGCAACAACCTAACAAGTTTCCGGTTGGAATGTTGGGTGAGTCTGAAGTCAGTTGTTATGATACTATTTCAAAATCAAAGTGTCTCGATATTAAACTTAGATTTTTTCAAAGGAGTCCATTTTGATACATCGAGTTCATCACTTATCGCGGAGATAGCAACAGCGGTGAAAGTGTTTGCGTATGGAGTAGAATCATACATTTCCGACGCTGAAAACATACGCTACCCACTTGGCACACGACTATCGTGCAGTGGTGCTGGAGCGGGCGAGGCGCGCTGGTCTACCGGAGAAAGGTTCTATCAGCATTTGCGTAACGTCAGCGTTGACGGTGAGGCAGGCAGACCGAACATAGAATTCACTCCTGATGGCGAACTGAGGGCTGCGGAACTTAAAATTATGAATCTGCGGCCTGCTATAGGAGAACAGGTATGGTTTTGTAATTATTTTCGGTATTTTAGATGATTATTCTATTAAATTTAAATCCCTTGATTAAAAATTTTATTATTTCTGTTATAATGGGTTAAAAATTCTTTGATTAATGTTACCAAATTACTTGAGGACGGCTGGACAGATAGGACTTAATAACAAAAAAATAAATAATAGGTACCACAAAAAATATGAAAATGTTATCATTCAAACAATATTTGCAGGAGGTGCAAGTTAAACATAACGAAGCTTAATAAATAATTACGCTTTGTTTTGTTTTAGATATTAAAAATGTTCTATTTGGCGTGGCATCGATCGATACTCACAAAACTGTTATGTGTCTACCTTTATTAACATACATAACCCAATTAAAATAAACTTTAAAAATACCTGAGGAATCTAATGTTATTTTCTAAAGATTGGTGATCCTTATGTTCAGGATTACTTTAAGGGTTACTTTTCCTTACCAGTATGGTAATGTATTTCTTGCAGTTGGTGTGGGAAGAAATTGGAACGTGGAATTCATATCCAAAAGAACGTCTCATTATTAAGGATATTGTGTGGCCAGGTGGATTACATACACCCCCGCAAGGAGTTCCTGAAAAGTTTCATATGCGTATCACATTTCTTGAAGAACCACCTTATATTAATCTTGCACCACCTGATCCAATAAGTGGACGATGTTCTTTGGATAGAGGTGTTATCTGTCGCGTTGCACCTGAGATTGATGTGGCGGGGTAAATGTCTTAGAATTAATTTAACATATGTAGTTAATATTAACAATGAAAAAATTTTTACCAAGTAAAATAAAATTTCAGGTTAGAAGCAGGCTCCGCGCACGGTAACAGTTCTCTATATCAGTGTTGCAGCGGATTTTGCATAGACTTATTGCAACAGTTAGCAGAACAATTGGGCTTTACGTATGAACTTGTACGTGTAGAAGATGGGCGCTGGGGAACCCTTCATCATGGCAAATGGAATGGCCTTATAGCTGACCTCGTCAACAAGAAAACTGACATGGTCAGTTCTGACAGACCATCGCGTTTCACACCCAAAAAAAACTAGTTACATTACTACGAAATTTAGTAAGAACTAAAAAACTAAAAAACCCAATACTTAAGCCAACCTTGAATTGGATGACGCCAGAGGGAACTGAATCTCGCGGGAAAATATAGAACTATAGCATTAAAATTTGTGAGAGCAATATGAGTCGAAAAATTATATTTTGCGAGTTTCTTATCCTCTTTGGAGTTATCTCAGAAACAGTTGATTTCGTTTTATACTAATTACACGACTGCCCAAAAAAGAAAGAGTAATGTTTTTGGTTTATTGTTTTAAACACATATGATTCTATTTTTCCCCATAAGTTCTAAACGCCTGAGCCGATTTAGATATATATCATGGTATCGTTCGAATGCTTTCACCAACCCCCAGGATGGTATCCTATGTAATCCATAACATCAGATACCTAAATTGTTAAAATTTAAACAATAACAAAGGCAAAATGTTAAATAAAGAAAGTCTTCTATTATTACATTATAGGTAAGTATTATTTGAAAAGACTTAACGGATATTACCTACGTGTAAAATGTGATTAATACTAGAAGATACATTGATTACTTCAAGCATTGCCGTTAAAAAAAACTGAAATTTAAAAAATAAGTTTAATATCGAATAGGACGGAACTAGTATTTTTTAATGCAGTCGGGGAAATGTTAACTAGAAAAAGCTCCACGCGGACCAGGCAGCAGACGGGACTCGAACCCGCACCCTTCGCAATCCGGGCGAATGCACTTACCAATTATGCTACCGCGGATCTCACGGACCGCGTCGAAATTCTTCTAGCTATTTTTCTACTTATTATTTATTCTTTAGATCTTTAAACATCAAGCAGTTACATGCTTTAAAAATGAAATAAAAATTATAACATAGTTATTGTAATAAATACTTAATTAACTTTTACGATTAATTCCAGGTTTTAACATCGTTGATAATAAACTCAGACCGTGAAGCAGTTGTGGATTTCAGTGTACCGTTTATGGAAACGGGAGTTGCAATTGTGGTAGCAAAACGAACAGGAATAATTTCGCCAACGGCATTCTTAGAGCCCTTTGACACCGCTTCTTGGATGCTTGTTGGAGCAGTTGCAATACAAGCAGCAACATTCTCCATATTCTTTTTTGAGTGGCTATCGCCAAGTGGTTTCGACTGTTCAACCGGCCTCAATTCCAAGCGAGTGCCACAAAATCGTTTTTCGTTGTGTAGAACGTATTGGATTGTATGGGCAGTCCTCTTTCAGGTGATTTTTTTTTAGAAACAATCAGGCATTTATTTTTTTAACACCTTTAAAACCTATGTAAATGCGAAGACCATGTAAACTCAATTTCCTTTTTTCCTTAGGCATCAGTGCACGTGGATTCTCCGCGGGGTTTCACAGCCAGATTTATGACGAATATGTGGGCTATGTTTGCAGTCGTATTTCTCGCTATCTACACAGCCAATCTTGCAGCGTTCATGATAACAAGAGAAGAATTTCATGAATTAAGTGGTATTGACGACCCACGGATATCGCGGCCTTTGTCGCACAGGCCTGCACTTAAATTTGGAACAGTACCGTGGTCTCACACTGATGCTACATTAGCAAAATATTTTTCAGAACCACATGCATATATGGCACAGTAAGTTGTTATAAATCTATAAATGTTCAATAATTTGTTTAAACGACCTTATTCATGCCACACAATAACTACATAATGCATGCATGACGCGAATTTCCAAATTCCGTAAAAAAATGGTAATTGCTGTTGAAGAAATCAATTCTCTCTCGCATTCCTTTATATTTAAAATATTGCCACAAGTAATATGAGCGATATCGTCAAACCTTGCGATCTCGTAGGAAATATTTGCGATTGACCACACTTTGCTTGTCAAGCATTTGGAACTGGTTAAGATGCTCAAGATGAGGAAATTGCAATACTTTGGACAATTAATGTCATAAACGAAAAAAAGGTGATGACATTGTACAGCCTATTGGGGCTATTATCCAAATAAAAATACAAGCTCGAAGATCGCATCTGACCAAAACCGCCATTCGTGGCTTAAAAATCTTTGATACTGGTTCGGTTTGGGATGACTGCTAATGGTCCCATAGTTAGACGACAGTTTCGAACGTAATAGCCCTAATGATAACCGATCTCTGATAGGAAAGGACACTTTGAGAAATACGCTTTGGTATGTTGCACTCGCCGTCGGAATAACCGCTATTCCGATATCTGAATGCTAGTTTTCTATGTGAACACCTACAACGTGTTATGAGATGAGCAGAGGATTAATTTCAGTCATTGTAAAACTATTTCTTTTTCAGATATAATCGTAGTACTGTGAGTGCTGGTGTTACGAGTGTATTGACTGGTGAACTAGATGCCTTCATTTACGATGGCACTGTATTAGACTATTTAGTATCACAAGTAAGTTCAGCGAAAATTTGCTCTAAATTGTTACGGAATTTTTAACAAACTTTAAATCTAAACATATTTTTAGGACGAAGACTGCAGACTATTGACTGTAGGGTCATGGTATGCAATGTCAGGTTATGGCTTAGCTTTTACTCGAAATTCAAAATACCTCAGTATGTTCAACAAAAGATTATTGGATCTACGTTCAAACGGTGATCTAGAAAGATTACGCAGGTAAGTGGTAAAGATATATTTTTCTCAAACATGCTTGAAATGTGACCATAATTTTGACATAACCTTCTTCGAGATAAATCGAAATTTCTGTACTGGCCACATACATGTGAGCAGCGGTCAGCAAAAGTTGTATGAAAATTCATATCTGTCGTGTAATTTAAAAATGGAACGATCATTGACTCCGGAACATGCCAACCAAGGTTTGCTGGCCGCTGCAGTAATGTAGGTAGATAGTTATCAAAACGACAACAATGTGCATGAGATGCGTACTCTCTTGTTGTTTACAGGTATTGGATGACAGGAACGTGTAAGCCCAACAAGCAGGAGCACAAGTCATCGGATCCACTCGCGTTGGAGCAGTTTCTGTCTGCGTTCTTGCTGCTAATGGCGGGTATCCTGCTAGCTGCGTTGCTGCTCCTTCTAGAACACGTGTACTTTCGCTATATGCGGACACACCTAGCCGCCTCTAGTGCGGGCTCGTGCTGCGCTCTTGTGTCACTATCCATGGGTATTGTATCACCAAAACAACGTAATGCAACATCTATTTTTTTTATAGTTGCGTAGGCAAATGAGTCTGACCCCAACCGATGTTAAGTGGTGATAAAGTTCAGACGTGAAGATAGCTGGTACTGAAATTATAAACTGCCACACCAACCAACCTCACCTTGCCGGCCTGTAAAAATGCTTCTTTACACCTCACTTAAAGGACACCAGATTGTAGAAAGGGAGGAACACTTGCGCGGGTAGCGTTGCCAGGCATTGGGATAAAGCCGGCTTTTTAATTGCGTGTCCGGCCAAAATAAACGGTGACTGGCTTGTCCGGCTTTTGTTATGCTTTTTACATTTTGCAGGTGAGCGAGCGCCAAACGTCAAGCGTAAGCGAGTTGACTGTTGGTCGGTTTAAAGCTTTTACATAATTTTTTTTGTAGTTTACTGAGCTTCTACTGCCTGCTAATTCCTATTTAAATGATCAAAAATAATTACTAGGTACTGTATTAATTTTTACAAGTGCATACCTCTGTCATGTACTTACTCAATGTGATGTGACTAACAACCTTGAATCTCTTTTATTCCCGCAATAACTTTGTCACCTGTACAGTAGTTTGTCGCTTGTCTTTGTTAACGTAAGCCTACACTCTGCAAGACACAACAGTTAGTTTTACGATATCACAAAAAAACCAAATCACTAATCAACTTAGACAACAATATTTTATAAAAAATAACTATTATTCAATACTAGCGCAGCGGCCGCCCGCGACTTCGTACGCTCCACGCGTTAGTTAGAAATAAAGGTTCACTGCTCGTTCCCCGTAGGTGACAGCGTGATTATATGTAGCCTATATGTTGACCCGACTTCTTAATAATATTCGTGCCAAATTTGAAGTAAATCCATGCAGTACTTTTTGAGTTCATCCCGGACATACATACAGACAAAAATTCTAAAAACTATATTTTTGGCTTCGATATCCATTGTAGATCACACCCCAAGTATTCTTTTAAAAAATATTCAATGTGCAGTTTTGAGTTTCCTACCATTTTATATGTATAAGATGTATTGTGATTTATATTCGCATTTGCAGGACAATCTTTGTCGTTCCACGGTGCAGTGGTGGAAGCAGCGTCACGAGGGTTTGGAGCCGGGGGTCGTGGACACTGTCGGTCCGCAGTTTGCGCTGCACAGGTTAGCGTTTTACTGCCTCTCTCTCCCTTTATTACAGAGCACGAGCTCATGTTTACGAACGAAAAATATTTTCCTCTGGTAGGGGAGGCTGCGGGTCGCAAGTTGCGACCTACACAAGAGGGCGACCCTGCTTCTAAGGTGTGAGCGTGATTCCATCAGGACTCTTACCATCGTCACGAAAGATGCCGCTAGGCTCAAGGACCGCTGGCAACTTGACTGAAGAGCTCTGCGGAAGACGTCATTGATGCAGGCGTGGCGGGAACTTCGACCAAAGCTCATTTGGCATGAGAGTCCATGGTGACCCAAGCGCTTGAGGTCTCTGCAAGGTGAGCCAACTCCACTACGCCCAAAGAAGGGCATAGTATTTTATTAAAGAGCTCGGCTGTAGGTACCATATGCAGAAGACAAAAAAGCGGGAAGAGCAACATGAGAAATATGACGAGTACTTAGAACTCCGAAACGAACAGGGCGAGAGGCCTGCTTCCAAGCGTTATCGGAAAATTAATAATTTAATATTTTGGAGAGTGTCTCTGAGCGAATTGTCAATAATCGACAGTTGCCCTGGAAAAAGCCAAAAATTAGTGCTTCCAAAAAACATATGAATTTTGGGGCGAAAGCGCAAAAGGGTGATTCCTGGGACCCGTGATTTTAAGGGTCACATTGAAATATTAACTGGAGTAATAGACCAACTTGAATAAAGTACCACTCCAAACTTTACTTAACTATTGTAGTGTTGAGGCCCATTGATAAAAAATAATATTTAATTAAAGAAATTGGTTAAATATCCATTTGAAACTGAAAAACGCGGTAATTTCAAGAGATTTTTACGTGTCACACGCGCGACTCTTGCTATGTTATAGTGAATATTTTTTTTACGCTCAAGGTTATATATGAATGTATACTTGTTTAAATACATAAAGAGTTATTCTATTAGATCATGAATAAACTGTTCTAAAATAATCAAAGTCTAGTCTAGACTTTAGTTTTCTACTAGTCTAGAGACATACCTTTATTCGTTCAAATACATCCCACGCGGCGGCCATAGTTTCAATCTCGCGGCAAAACTATGACAGTTTATTTAGTGAATCGCTTGTTGACCGGCAGTGTTCGGACGGGAAGGTAGTGTCCGTAGATTTCACGCCAAAAATTATAGGTAAGTTCTTTGACTTCTGCAAATGTTTGTCCAACGGGTTAGGTATAACTCGTGGCTCATTTTGCTGTTAAATTCAGAATAGTTTCACTTAACTGGTCTTTGATTAATAATACGTTTATCCCTGTGTAGGCACTGGAGTACAAATAAATACGATTTTATTTATAGTTTTACAGTACTTAATACCTTCATATTTGAATTATCGTCAGATTCGTGGTCGTAAGATCCGTGGATTTAAGCCATGGATCTGATTTATCGACCATAGATCTGACCACATAATATTATAGCTTCACTGCCTCCGTGGTGTAACTGTTAGAGCGTTGGACTCCCAACCTGAAGGTCGTGGGTTCCAATCCCGCGCGGACCTACATAATATCTCCTGCGTAGCTGGTTAATCTCGTTGAGATTAGCCGCTGTGGTAGAAATCGACCAGGAGGCCTAATTTTTACAGCTTCAATCATTTTCTTTCAGTTTTAATTGCCGTGGGTACCTACCCAGTAAAGACTGATGTTTAAACGTAAGAATTTAAACAAATACCAAAGTAGTTTATTTATTGCTTTTTTAATTTTTTTTATGCAGTTGATGTAAAAAAAATACAAAAAAATAAAACTTCTGATTACTTCTGCTATAATGATGTTTTATTTATAATTTTCTTTTTAGCAGCATTCTAACAGGCGATTCTAACACGACGCCATTACTTGATTCATATACTTCGTCAGATCCGTGATGCCCTTGGTCAGAATCGTGGCGAGCCAAAACATTTTCTTTTTTTTTTCAAGAATCTATAAGGTCTACGTGTGTGCCTCATCTACAGAATGACTTGTTTTTCAGCCCTCTTTAGCCATATAATTTTAGTTTTTTCTAATAATGAAATAAAATAAAAGCCACGGATCTGATGCGAAGAACGTTGGTCCCAGGAATCACCCAAAAACGAATCAACGGGTTAATTTTCAAAAATTTTTGGGAGAAATGCTGAATTTTAGAAATTTGTTCATTAATAAAAATAGGAATAGCATCATCAAAATTCGGGGAACCTAAGAAACAGAGAGATTTATTATCAAGAATTTTGATATTAGGAGCTAAAAAAGCCAAAAATTTTGTGACAAATGTTGTAACTGTTCAGGTGAAAATTTGATTCTGGAATAAATAGATCACATTTTGAAAAATTTAAATCAAGGCAATACTTTTGAAACTATCGCCAGCGATAGTTCCGTCGTAACGGTACCACACATAAAATTTTGAATAGAGCGAATCATATTGGGCTGTATTGCCAAACTAAAAATAGCGGGCCCTAGAGGATCGCCTTGTTGGCAGCCAACTGATGATAGTAGGTTTTTTTTGTTGAATTGCTGAATACAAGACACCTCTATCTACGAAGTTCAAGGCATTTTTTGACATCTTCCTTCAGCACCACCTCAGCTGCGTCAAGCGACAGAAAGGTGCGAAGAGCGTGCACAGCTGCTTTGGAATTCAGCTGAAACCGTCGGTAATACCTATGTGTTGACAACCAATTTTTGGATGCTTAACGGCGAAAGGTGGAACCAACAGATGTAGAGCGAATACCACCTCCTTTTTTTAAAGTAATTAAGTTGACCCCGTAAAATATATCAACAATATCTTCAGGAACTTCGCCGGATAGCATCAAATTAACCAGAAGAGTGATATTATATAATCAGACTGCCAGTGTCACCGAGAGAGACGCAAAGAAGGTCTCTTAAATGTTGCGGTGAAAGCCCATCTAGGTCTCTGACAGAGCCACTTTTGAAAGAGAATATCGCATCTAAAGTTTGCAAACCGATTGAAAAACAAACAAATTTCAAAGTAGTAAGTTCATTATGGAGTCGATTCTCGCTTAATTATCTAAAGCTTAAATTTTTGACAACAGTGTATCATTGTCATTCTCGTTACAGAAAGAAAATTAGAGAGTGATGTTAAATTAAGTTTAGAGAATTATTCATGACAGAAGGGACACCTATGTATTGTTTATAATTTTGATGTGGCTATTTAACTGCATCAATTCAAAATATTTTTTATATATTTTTTCATATTTTAAAGTCGAAAGAAAGCTTTTTTTTGATTATGTTATAGACTTAGAGATAGATTGTGAATGATTGTATGTTTGTTTTCTTATAAAATCTATCCATGTATATTTGTTTTATCAACTTGGTATTCATATCGGAAGATGCAATTAATTAAATTAGATTGAAAGTTTTCAAGTAATACATAATATAATGCGATTCAACTAAGAATAGGACCGATTGAGCGCCATATTGTGACGTCATAGCTGTCAAGTCTAACCAAATAGGTAGAGTGAGCAAAAAAAGTTTTTATTTAATAAAACTTAAAATTTATTTACTAAAATTCAGATAAAAACAATCGATTTTTAATAATATTTATTTATTAAGTCTGTGTGAGAAAAAACATTAATCAGAATCTAGCTCTTCAATTCCGCTCATCTCTGCATTACCGCCGGAGTAGTTATAAATAATCATGCACAATTACTAGGTAACGAACATGCACCCTTTATGTAAACGAAAGTTTCTAAATCGAGTTAATGAACGCAACTTATTAAGTGACATTTGGTTGATGATTTAGGTTATCAACCAGTCATAGCCATAGCTCAATAAATGAAATATCAAACAATATTAATTATCAATATGTGTTATTGTTTGTTTACAAATGTTGGTTTTTATTTTAGAATTGGCGGAGTGCTAAAAAAGGTTACCAATATTTTTTTGCAAACAGTACTTTTCAAGCGACATTTGACAGATGGAGGTCATTGGCTTTCCTTTTCTTAATTGAATCGCACTATAGCATTCATTCATTTCATTCACTTTTCGTCAATCACGATGAATTTCTAACTATTATTTTTGCCATTCATTCACCATTACGCGCCTTTTCTTTTAATTGAATTTTATGCCAGAATACTAACTTTTCAGTAATTAAAATACTTGTATACACAATATTAAAATCAAAAAGATCGGTTTTTGCATGAGAAATCAACATCATTTTCCATTTTTGTGGGAGCTCGGACTCGCGACACGAAACGATCCAAAATGATCCGCTATCATTGCGTGTGATGTATTTTTTATAAACGTACTACATTAATGTTCTGGTACCATTTGACACAGGGGAAATGCCTGTAATGGCGTCTCCCGTTATAGATACACAAAGTGCGACATGCTAAATATGAACAAAAAAATTGACAATGTTATAAAAGCTTCACTTTAAAAAGTTATTTACACCTACTGTAGGTGTGGCGCGCGCGGCACGAGCGAGACGCGGCGGTGGCGCGCGCACGGCAGCTGGCGGTGGCGCTGGCGGCACACGGGCTGCAGCCGCCGCCACGCCGGCTGGCGTCCGCGGCCGCGCTTCTCGCGGGCGGCGAGCACGACACCACGCGCCCGCGCACGCTGCATGCGCCCGCCGACCTCCTGCCCGACCTCGACCGTCCGCTCTCTTGCGGCGACTTGCGCGCAAGGTACATTTACAATACTCTCCTTCCGACAAACTTTGTTTTATATGAGGCGCAACAAATTACACCTGGGGGCCTCCCGCCTATCGGAATTGCTTTAGCTATTGCTATAGCTTATGATTTCATTTTGTTATTGCTAGATGGTGAAGGTTTTGAAATACCTCGCGCTCATTTTCTTTAATATTTTTACAGAGAGACAGACCAATCATTCATTTATACACATACCTACCCCTTGTACCTACGTGTATACCTTACACTATCAATCCCTATTCTGGAAAATATATATAAACGGAACAAAAAAAATCAGCTGATAGCTAATAACTTTCTCTTTCTCCTGCATTCCACTCCAGAAGCTTCAAAATATACTCCATCATGCTGACATGTGGCGGTGACAATGTGTTGGCGTGGCGTTTTTGTAAAGGTACCTTAAGACCTCAATATACATGCCACTGCCCAGCCGGCCTATTGCTAACTTTTTTGACACAGTGTTTAACCCAAAGAGAAATATTCATATCCATTGATGGCACTGATGCCAAATTGGGGGAATTCCCCCCAAATTTGGGGAGTTTTTAAAGCCCATCGCTTTAAAAACTCCCCAAATTTGGGAAAATCTTTTTGGGGGGATAATACGTGGGAAGAAATTTGGGTTTGCGGGAAATGGTGTCTTTTTATTCAATATTTTATATAAAAATAATATCACTTAATAAACTTTTAATCTGTAAAAAGTCGCGATCAACAGTCTCTCTTTCTCATTTAGTATAAAGCATGACAAGGATCTAAACTGTTGTCAAATTTAATTTTAGCTTTGAGAATCATGCAAGTATCGGCTCCACTGAACTATGTTCATTCCGTGAGCCCGATTCGGACCCGTAAGTCCAAAGCACTATTGTAGTTAAAAAAAAGTACGCTTGAGACCATTCCGTCTAGCTCAGTCGCTCGGTCAGTCAAGTCCATGTCAAGTCAGTCAATCGTTAATGGTCGTTAGCTTTAACTGCAAATCGATTCGACACTATCTATCATCTTTACTCTGCTAAATCGTAATTTGTCCATTTAATCGTTTGCACCTTGGTAAGATAATGGCACTGCACCATCAAAACAAAGTTATGTAACAAGAATAAAGCCAGAATCATATTACCGTATCGTGTCGTAGCGCGCGTTTTAATATGGTTAGAGACACATTATTTAAGTACGTGTCGTGTCATGTCGACGCTCCAATCTCTCTCTCGCTCTCTCTAACCCATAATAAATGTATGAAACCGATGCGTCACGACAAGCCACGGCACGGTA